AATTAAAGTTCACAAAACAATGCTTGTGTCACAAATAAGATACGTTGATCAACAAAGACAAAACATAAGGTAATTATTAAACTTTTAAGACATAGCTTAAGAATTTTGAAAAAAGTAGAGGCAAAGCATTAATGGGACAAAGAAATGTGATATTATCTGTTGATAATTTTATAGTTTTATCAACTGGACTAGGGAGAAATGTTCACATGTTGAAATATTCACTTTGTAATGTGATTGAATTTATAAAAGAAAATGAAATAAATAAATATAAAAAATAAAAAAAATCAAAAAGTTTTGGAAAAAAGAGTGATATTTGTCACATAGTATCTTTTGTATATATTTGGATCTTGTTTGATAGTATTTTTATACAGTTTTTGAATATGCTTTCATATATACAAATGACCCACAGTTCTCCTTGCTTTACTGCCCTAGTCAGGTTGTTAGATTATGAGGACTATCTCTGCCTTCATAAAGTGAGTTATGTATATTTCTTGTTTTTGAGAGATTTTTGCTAGAGGGTGAATGCACTCACCAGAAAGACAGATACAGAGAGACAGAAAGTGAAAAATTACCCCCCAGTGGGGATGGCCACGCCACAATCCCTTCTCCGTTCTCCTCTTGGGATCTTGGGCATGTACACACACGCGTCTGGCATGAGTTTAAGCCACTGGGTCCAGGACTTGAACTGCGGTTGACTACATAGTCCAGGAACATAGCTATTACTCCACCTGCTGGTCCCTATATATTTTTTTCTAACTAAAAAAAAATAATTGTTTTATTTATTTTTAAAATTTGCTATGTTACGTGCATTCACCAGAGAGAGACAGAGAGAGAGATGTAAGGAAAGTGAGAAGGTAAGCTTCGAGGTTTGGGACTTGACTGCAGTTATTAGCCTGGGAGTCCAGCACCTTAACCATCATGCCACCTGCTGGCCCCAAGTTCTGTATTTCTTTCTTTCTTTCCTTTTTTTAGAGATTTTTTGCCTTTGGGCTAATGAGCTCACTGGGGAGAGAGACAGAGACAGGGAGAGGGAAAGTGAGAAATCATTCCTGGGGGGGGCGGGGGATGGCCATGCTGCAATCTTTTTGCCTCCATTCTCCTCCTGGGATCTTGGGCATGCATGCACATGTGCCCGGTGTGATTTTCAAGTCACTGGGTCTTGGACTTTTAATTGTCGTTGGACATGTGGGAGTTCTGCAATTTAACCACTGTGCCATCTGCTGCCCCCGAGTATATTTCTTAATACTCTGGATAAGTTTGTGAAAGAGTATAATTATATATTTCCTGAATTTTCAAAGACCTCACAGGTAAAGCTATTAAGAGCTTGGAATTTTTTATGGGGAAAGATTTTCAACTATTAGTTGAATTTATTTATTGGTCATAGGACAATACAGATTTTGTATTTCTTCTTGATTCAATTTTAGTAAGTGATACTTCTCCTTGGGGGGGGGGATTCATTGTATCCAAACTTTCTAAGTCATAGCTATAAAATTGTTTGTAGTATCATTTTATTACTTAATAGCTATAGTATCTCTTTTTTCCTTCCTGATATTGGTTATTAGTGCCTTCTCTCTTTTTCTTTTTGGAGAGGTTTTCGCTCTAGGGCATGTGCTCTCGCCAGACAGACAGAGAGAGACAGAGAGACGGAAAACGAGAAATCACCCCCCAGGGGGGATGGTCACGCTGCAATCCCTTCTCCTCTATTCTCCTCTCGGAATCTTGGGCCCGGGCGCGTGCCCGGCGTGAGTTTTAAGCCATTGGGTCCGGGACGTGAACTGTGGTCGACTATGTGGGAGTCCAGCGACATAGCCATTACACTAACTGCTGATTCCCAGTGCCTTCTCTTTTTTGAGTGGGATAATCTTACCAGAAGTTAATCAGTTTTATCAGCATTTCAAAAGAATCAGCTCATGTTTATCTTTCCTTCTGTTTATTCATTATTTCATTAGTTTCTGACTTCATCTTTGCTATTTTTCCACTGTTTTTTCCCCTAAATTCTTGAGATCGATGTTCAACTTATTTTTAGGTTTGAAGGCAAAACAAAAACAGCAACAATATTATATGTATATTTATCAAACCATCATATATTCAAGTAGTTAACATATTCATCAGCCCAGTTTTCTTGTGCCCCATTGTAATTTCTCCTTCCAGACTTTGCCCATGTTTTTCGCTCCATACAACTACTGATTTGCTTTTTATCCTTTAGATTACATTTTTAAGAGTTTTAAATAAACAGAATCTAGTAATAGGTGCTCTCTCCGTCTCCCTCCCTCTCTCTTTTATTTATTTTTTTTAGGGTTTGCTATAGGGCACATGTACACATCAGAAAGAGATAGAGACAGAGAAAGAATGAGAAATCTCCCTTAAGGTGGAATGGCCATGCTGTAATGACTTTACCTCCATTTTCCTCTTGAAATTTTGGACATGCATGTATCTGGGGTGATTTTCAAGTTGCCAGGACCAGGACTCAAAATGCCTCAAAATGTGAGCCATGTGTGATCCAACTGCTTTAACCTCCATGCCACCTTCTGGCCCCAATTTTCTGGCTTTTTTTATTCAGCATAATTATTTGCTGTTCATTCACATTGTATATATCAGTAATAATTTCTTTTTAAAAATTTGACAGAGGGTGCATATGAGAGAGAGAGAGAGAGAAAGTGAGAAAACACTCACTCTTGGGGGATGGTCATGCCTCAATCCTTTCTCCTCCATTTTGCCTTCCTTTTTGAATTTTGGGCATACATGCACGCACATGCTCCTGGTCTGTTTCTCAGTGCGTTGGATCTGGGGCTGTAACTGTATAGTTGACCATGTGTAACCCAGCCCCCTTAACCACTGTGCCGTGCCACAAGCTGGCTCAGTATGTTCCTTATTATCCAGGGTTGGTATACCTTTTCTGTAAGGGCTAGAATAGTGAATATTATAGTTCTCTTCAGGTTATATGATTTTTTGTTTGAGTAATTCAACTCTGCCAATGTAGAGTGAAAGCAGCCTTAGAGAATGTGTCATAAATGAGCCTGGCTGTGTCCCAATAAAACTTAATGGACACTGAAAGTTGAATTTCATGTAACTTTTACTTTTTAAATGTAATTTTTTAAATGTGATTTAAAAATGCAAAAGCCAGGAACCAGCAGTTAGCGTAATGGCTATGTCGCTGGACTCCCATGTAGTTGACCGTGGTTCGCGCCCTGGACCCGGTGGCTTAAAACTCACACCGGGCGTGTGTGCGTGCGTGCCCAAGATCCCGAGAGGAGAATGGAGGAGAAGGGATTGTGGCGTGACCATCCCCCCTGGGGGGTGATTTCTCACTTTCTGTCTCTATGTCTCTCTCAGTCTGTCTGGTGAGTGCATGCGCCCTATAGTGAAAAACCTCAAAAAAAAATTACAAAAGCCATTCTTTGTGTGTCATATAGAAACTGGTGGTAGGTAGGATTCTTTGCTGACCTCTGCTTTTAATTGCTGAATTGTAATAATCCATTGTGTGTGTTTAGCCCAGTTTGTTTATATATTTACCTGCTGAGGGATGTTTTGAGTTGTTTCCAGTTTTTAAGTTATGAAAGTAGCTAGTCTTGGTATGACTGTATGCTTTATTTGCCCTTGGGTAAATACCTAGCAGTGGAATTGTTAGAGCATGTAGTAGGTATATATTTAGCTTTTCATACAAATAATTGTCATGTATTTATTCTTTCTGTCTTTTCTGCCTTTCCTTCGTTTTACTCAATTTTATTTTCTCTTTTTTTCCTCTTTAATTGTTTGGAAGGTATACATTGTTCTTTTAGTTATTTTGTTGGTTATTCTTGAATTCAAAAGACACTTTGGGCCAGCAGGTGGTATGGAGGTTGGGGCTGTTAGATCCCATAGGGCCTGCTCAATTGTTTGAGTCCCAAATGTGGTGCTTGAAAAACATCCCGGGTACATGTGCATGCATGCCCAGAATTCTTGAGAGAAGAGTGGAAGAGGGGATTGTAGCATGGCCATTGCTATTACATGGTGCTTTCTCACTTTTCTTCTCTGACAGGTTCACACACCCTATCTTTTTTTCTATGAATATTGAGATTAGTTAGCTCCTATTCTTTTTTCCTAAAAAAACAAAACAAAACAAAACAAAACAAAAAACAAAAAACAACTTTTTAGAACCCTTCACTTCTACTTTTTTGTTCTTCATCTTTCATGTATTATTAAAATCACTGATTAAAGCTTTTGGGTTTCTAAGAGGAAATTTCCATTTCTTTTATTGAGGAGTCCTTGAAACATTTTAAAGTTTTATGTTGTTGTTTCTTGTTTTGTTTTTGTTTTTGTTTTTATTTTAAGAGAGATTTTTGCTATAGGGGATGTGCATTCGCCAGAGAGACAAAGAGATGGAAAGCGAGAAATCAGTTCCCCTCCCAGGAGGGATGGCCATGCTGCAGTCCCATCTCCTTCATTCTCCTCTCAGGATTTTAGGCATAAATGTACACACACCTGGCATAAGTTTCAAGTCACTGGGTCCAGTAATCAACCACAGTCTGCCATGTAGGAGTCCAGCAATGTAACCATTACACCATCTACTGACCCTTATTTCTTGTTTTTAATATTATGTCTTTTTTTTTTTTTTAAATTGCCAATGAGTGCCTATACTTGTCAGAGAGAGAGAGAAAGAAAGAAAAAACTCCCCAGTGGGTTACAATCATACCATAGTCCTTTTTCTTACATTTATCCATCCAGTCAGGATTTTGGACACACAAGCACGTGTGCCTCAAGCCACTGGGACTGAGATTTAAACCTTGAGGTCAGCCATATGGGATCTGACTGCCTTGACTACTAGACTTTAGAGTCAGCCTACAGTTCCTTTTTTTTTTCTTTTTTTTTCAGAAGAGGTTTTTACCTTAGAATGTGTGTGCTCACCAGAGAGAGAGACAGACACAATGAGAGGAAAAGTGAGAAATCATCCTCTATGAGGATAGCCACATGGCAGTCCCTTCTCTGTTCTCCCAGGATCCTGGGCATGCATACATATAAGCCCAGCGCGATTTTCAAGCTATCAGATCTGGGCCTCAAACCATGGTTTGGCCATGTGGGAGTCTAGCAGT